TATATATATATATATATATATATTAGGGTGGCTCAAAAAAACGGATTATTTTTTTTTTTTTTACTCGAGTGAAAAAATGTTAGCTATTGATGTTTTAAGAGCCCTCTTCAAAGGACAGCTCAGAAAAAATTTTTAAGAGGTAGCTCCAAATTTTTTTAAATCACAAAAATCGTCAAAAGTCGAATTTTTTTCTCGTTACGGTATAATTTTATAGATCACAAAAAAATAAGTTTCTGAAATTTTCGATTCAAAATTAAAATTTTGAAAAGTTGCTCATAATTTTTTTCAATTTTTAGTGCATTACTTTAAATTTTTTCGAGCGACCTTTTAATATTCAAATTAAAACTCCATGCATTTTTTTTTTTTATTATTTAGTACAATAATCGATAAAAATACACCACGAGATGAACTAAAAATCAAGCACAATATAGAAAACATAATTTTTTTTTAATTTAATAATTTTATTTAATCAACTACAACATTTTAACAATATTTCAATAACTCACCGGCCAGGTGCGACGTACCACCGTACTACTCCCAACAGTTAAAGTCGGCGATATGACACAGCAGTTAAAACCGACTTTAAATAATAATTAATTAAAAAAAAAAAAAAAAATTATGAGCGACCTTTAAAATTTAAATTTTGAACTGAAACATCCAGAAACTTGTTTTTTTTTAGTCTATAAAATTATGCCGTAAAGAAAAAAAAAAAATTTTTTTTTAATTTGATTTTTGACGATTTTTGAAATTTAAAAAAATTTGGAGCGACCTCTTAAAAAAATTTTTTTTAGCTGTCTTTTGGAGAGGGCTCTCAAAACATCAAAAACTAACATTTTTTCACTCGAGACTCAAAAAAAAAATAGTCGGTTTGTTTGAGCCACCCTAATATATATATTTATACAAATTTCTGCATTTTGTCAGAGGATATCGAAAACAAATTTTATAAGAAAAAAAAATTATTTCTTGAAATTTTTATACCTTAGAGTATTTCAAAACTATTTTATTAAAATTAAAAATGTTTAATTTCAGGTATGGTCGTGAATTTACCTATTCTTGTAAGTGAAAGTGGAGACGAAGGATTAGGTAGCATGTCTCCTGAACCATTATCAGTAATGACGGTTTCAACTGATGGGCACTCAATAGTTAACAGCAACAACAATGTAAACATAAATTCTGAAATTTTAGAGTTAAGACGACAATTAGAAAGAGAACGGAATCAACGTTTGAATTTAGAAAAACAATTACGAGCAATACCAACTCAGGTTTACACAGAAAGATTCCGAGACGGTCAGCTAATAGCTTATCAACCACATGAAGTAATTTGAATAAAATGGTTTATCAATAATTTTATAATTTAAACTTTTGAAGCTAAAAAATGTTAATTTTTCAGGTTATAGAGCACACAGATGATGCTATGGCTCAAGAAACAGAGGAAGCTGTGGCAACACTTCAGGTTGTTTCACTCATGTCAATTCCAGCAGTAGGATCAACCCAAACAGTTGAAACATCAAACCCTGAGCCAAGTTCACCACCTATGTCGCCACAGCCTGCGGAATTGATTGCAGAAGAAATTTTGAAAGAAGAAGAAATTTGTCCTGAGTCTCCTAAAATAATTGCATTTGCTACAAACAATCAAATATTTCAAGCAACTGTTGAAGAGCAAAGTACTCCAGAACCTTTTTCCCCGCCACATGTTACTTATAAAAATGAATTCCATAATACTTCGACGCAATTTATCACAGCAAGTCCAACACGACCTTTTTCACCACCTATAGAACTTCAGCGACTACCTAGTGTCTTAGAAGCAGCGATGAAGGCGGAACCTAAAGTTGAAGTAGAACGGTACTTGTAACTCTATTTTATGAAAAGTTCTTTAATCGTGTTTCACTGCCCACGGTTTTTTATGTCGTATCTTATAGTGCAGAAGTATCGAATTTAGCATTCTTAGTCCCTTTTTTAGGCAATTTGAATTTAAGAATGAATTATTTACTATCATTAGACATAACACGCTCGCTTCGCTCGCCTTCATTCTTTCAAAAATCCCGCCACTATCTCAGTCGACCAATCAACAACCGAATAAAATAGTCACAGAAGTAACGTAAAACGATACGACATCCGGTCATCAACTTTTTAGTAGAGGATTATACTGGCCACACACAGTTCTTTGACATTATTTAGAAAATTTTTGAGTAGACGTTAATATTTAACTATAAATAGTTAGTTCATAATTTGACTGCCAAACCTCTAAAACTTTTTTCTCACAGTACTATCAGGCATAAAAATTCTCAGATATCAATAACAACTAGGAATTCAAATTGCGCTCATATGTACGTGCGCGCTCTAATCCTGAACCAATAAGGAATCATATCAGGGGCCACTTTTTCGATTAATATCGATATAATTTCGATACTAAATTATCTTGACTTGAGTCATCAATTTTATATTATGGGATTGAAAAAATTTATTCTAGTTGAGCTGTGAACTAATAGGATTATTTTTTTTTTCTATAGATTGCCGTCACCAGCTAGTTCATTGGAAGATGGATCATCGCAAGCAAGAATATATCTCGCTAATACATCTAGACAAAACTTAGAAACTATCGTCGAAGCGATAAGACATCTAGAAGGCGACCATCTATTTAGTGATGAACCAGCGCAAGACGTTCCTCTGGCTTTAACGAATAAAACAACCTCGGGTACGCCAGCAAATACATCAACAAAACAACGACTACTACATGCTGAAGTTAACAATTTTCTTCAATTTCACTCGAAGCAACAACAAACCCAACAACGACCTGGTGTCATTGTCGTTAAACACTCGTGATTATCTATTTTTTATCCTATTACAAATAACACAATACAACATGAACAAACATACATTTTTCACCGTTACAACTCGTATTTATTAATATACAACATCTTAGTAGATATTTTGTCTTCATAAAACAAACATTTCATTAAAAGAAATTTCAACTAATTTATACGATTAAATTATTATTATTATTATTATTATTATTATTATTATTATTATTATTATTATTATTATTATTATTATATTTAGAGTACTAACAAGCCTGTTACAAAAAATAGCTTTTTCTTACAATTCATTTTATATTTTTTATATTTATGTATATATCGTTATTTCATTTGAATAAAACGCGTGACTCGTGGTAAATATAGCATTATTTTTTATGGTCATTTTTTAAACAACACTGAATAAACTGAGTGAAGTATTGTATTGTTGAACAGTATATATATTTCAATGAGCAGTGGAATGCACAATTATTTATGAAATTTTTTCAATCACATATACACAAAATATATCTTTATTTGTCTTTTTTTATAGTTGTTAAAGATGATAGATTGTAAAAAAATTTTTTTATGGGATGTTTTTTAGTTTTTTAAAAGTTATTATCGAGTGGTAGAGACAAGTCTTATGAAACTGTTTACACTTTCATTTTGTGCCAAATAATAAGTATGTTTGACTTGTCCTGTTTTTAGCACATTTAAGGTAGTTGTTCCATTGAATATATTTTCTTCTTTTTTTTTATTCTTTCATAATTTCAATTCAAACAATTTATAGATAAAACTATATATATTAGGGTGCTTCATTTAAAACGAAAAAAATTTTTTTTTTCGCTGATACATGAAAATTTTGTTCCTTATATCGAAAAAAAAATTCCCTGAAAATTTGAGACCTAAATTTTAATTTTAAGTGGTTCCTTTCGATCGATGTATATTTCCTATTAAAATAACATATAAATCATGATTTTTTGAATTTAAATTAATGTAGCTCCGTTTGATTTGATGGTATTTCATTGCGATTAGTCGAAATTTGTAGTATATTAGTGACTCTTTGAAAGTGCCCTCTAACATTTTTTTGTATTTGAACTCTTCTCATCGGTGTCGGCCTCGAAACCCCTATTTTCTCAAAAATTGTTATATTTTCGTTCTTATCAACAAAACAGTTGAAGTTATAAGAAAATTGTCAGAGATTAATTTGTAGGAAATTAAATTTCTTACAAAAATACCCCTGTATGGATTTTCTGAGGTGCGTAGGCCAAAAGGTATAAACAGGTTAATTTATTAAAATCTAAAAAAAATATGAAATTTTAATTTTTATTGTATGATTTTTAACTGACGCTTTTTTTTTTTTTTTAACAAAATTAACCTTCTTCAACTTTTTTTTTAGAAAAAAATATCAGTCAAATCGAGAAGAGATAATAAAAAAATTTTTTCAACGCTTTATTTTCAAGAATAAAATGTCTCATGTGGAATTCTGATATTTGTTGAGTGTCAAATATTTTTTTTTGTTCTTAGTATAAAGATATATACCAAAATTAGTTTTAAAAACAAGTCAAATTTGAAATAGTAAATTGTGGAACAAGTGCGACAACGTTGCACGAGTTGCACATACTATTTTGTATTACAAATGCGACGATATATGCGAGCACAAAATCGCGGTCCAGGGGCAGAGCCCTGGTGGGGTCCAGGGGCAAAGCCCTGGCGGGGGGTTGGGAGCGGAGCCCCCCCCCCCAGGCCCTGAAAACAAATAAAAAGTTAAGAAAAAAGAAACAAATATACAGTGCGCGTCATTGATTCGTACCGGTTGAAAAATTTTAAGGTAAAATATAAAAATCAAAATTTCGACATCTGTAAATAAAGAAATCAATAAAAGGAAAATCTTTATAAGGATCAATTTGAACAAAATTGAAAAAATAATTTACTAAAAATAAATAACTCAAAATATCAATCACGATTAAAATAGAAATTAAAAATATTAGTAATTAAAATAATCACACACTTTATAAAATAAATAAAAGTAAAATTTTAATATTAAAAAAAAAGACAACGATATAATTAGATAATTTAAAAATTTATCAATTATAAATATAGACATTGGATAAAATATAATAGACTAAATTCAGAGAAGTCAGTAAAAAGACATTTGAATATTTATATTTATAAAAATATTGATAGTTATTAATATATAAATTCTTAAAAAATAGACATCTCTAAATATAGACTAGAAAATTTAGAAAACTGTGATTTTAGACATCTGTAAATTTTTATTTATATTAATTTATAAATTCAAATAAAAATACAATTAAAAATATAATTGCTTTCAATTTACGAGCTAATAAAAAATTGAACGAGTATTTCTATAAGGCTCTAGAGCAGTAGACCAAAACCCTTGAATGTTTACGGAGTCGGTTCTCCAGGAGTTTGCGGATCAAGCAGCGGTGAGATTCCCCGCGCTCCAAATAATAACCTAGACATTTTTAAAATAGCGAATCTCGTATTTATCCTAGTTAACTACTCATGGAGGTTCACGGGGTCGGTTCACCAGGAGGTTGTGGATTAGACTGCTGCGGGATTCCTTGCGCTCCAAATAAATAACCTAGACATTTTTAAAATATTAAGTAACGTATTTATCAGAGTGAGCTACTCATAGAGGTTTACGGAGTCGTTCACTGGTTGAATCAGTGAACAAAATATCTGCGCGCATGTGCGCTTTTATGTCCACTGGTTAAATCAGTAGAAATCCACTGATTCACCAGTGAAATTGTCATTTTCTGTTGAATCTCACCGCTGCCTGATCCGCAACCTCCTAGAGAACCGGGTCCGTAAACCCCCATGAGTAGCTAACTCTGATAAATAC